GGGATGAATGTCGACCTGTAGCAGTTTCTGATAATGTCGGAAAGTAATAAAGACATGAAGAGTAACATGTTAAAAAAATCAGACGATTCAGAGTAGGGGTACGAGTCGGTTTGCTTTTCCTGTCCTGATATCTGACAGCTTGTTACAAACCCAGATTAAGGGAATCATCACCCATTGAAGGAGCATCTCGCGTACAAGGAGCTGTCAAGTGAAGACGCGTAAACGCGGTTTACTCTTCATAAATAATTGTTGACATGTGTTATAAGAACACGATCAATGAGGAATAATAGTGAATATAATGAGTATAATGAACATAGGTAGTAGTCATCCTTACATGCAATCGTTTTAGTGAATCAATGTTATATAGCTTATTCTGTATTGGTGGTCACGCTACGCGTTGGGTTCTCTTAAAAAGGTTCTTACTATTGTCATATCGCCATTATAAATCACACGCATCAATATTTCCAACGCGATCTGACAATTTGAGGACATTATTCATACCCCTCCCTGTGTAATAACGGCTTAAATTCTATTGATTGTTTTATGCCGAAGAATTGTCATCACTTGTTATGTACATAGATTATTCATTGCACAGTCCAACAATTTAGTATATGGCCTCCCATGATCGAAGGAAGAAAGTACGGATTGACTTGAGTATTTTGACTACTAATTGGCAACGTGAATGTGACAACCAATCTTCAAAGTGGGTCAACAAGCAACTACCGAAAAAGGAAACGTGTTCAGAAAGCAAGTGCAAAAGACCTCCCATGTCTTTTTGCAGACTTGGTTGAAGAGTACAGTGACATTGGATTAAAACCATAAGAGTCGCAAAGATGGCGGCATGCTAGCAGCCAGACGACTCGCATCCTATCATAATCATTTTTCTGAACTTACTAACCTACATTCTTCTTTAGAGCTTTATTCATTTTGCGAGAAACACTATAACCAGATCGTCCTACTAATCAACTTATCAACGTCTTATAGGTTCCGCTCAAGGGGATAAAAGACTCCGATTCGATACCGATAAAAATGATGCAACCGTTTCTGCGAATCCGTCTGACCTAGCTGTTGAGCTTGACAATACCAAAAAACGTCTGAATTTTGCTCAGCTGTAAAGTCGACAGAGATAACAAATCTCAACAATCAAATCGTACGAAATGCAGCAACACTTGGAAGATCAGAAATTCGAAATCGAAGGATTGAAGAGACGACTACGCAAGGCTATGACGATATGAGTGAGCTTCGAAATTTGTATGAAGAACAACATGAAAGTCTGACCAAAGCAGAAATCTTGTTAAAAGTAGAAGCCCCTCTTGAACAGCTGGGTGAAGTGAATTGCAAGAGATAATAAAGTCTTTGTTCCAATCAGATAGTGAATTCAATAACATTTATGATTATCTAAATGTATCAAATCATTATGACGTCTCCGAAAGATAATCAGATCGGCGTTTCTTACTTATTAAGGTGCGATCGTCGTCTGTCCAAATTTGGTATATTCACCGACTGAAATAATGTTGGTGAATATTTGTCAGTCTCCCCTTCAAAGTCATGCTCACTATATAGTATAAGCATTACAATTCCATTTTGCGCCTTGTAAAACTTTAATCTGACGTGATTGTGGCAATTTGAAAGTTCAACTCTTAATAGTGTGATCAATAAAGGACTCGAAACCTCAATTCTTTTAAGATGTCAACATGGGCGTTGGAGGGTGAGATTTTAGCGTAACGTCGAAATACTAAAATGGCTAGAGTTCTGGCTGATCGCATTCTATCCATATCTGTAAGACTCATATAATCGCTTGCTTATTAATTATCATTGTTGGGATGCACAAAGAATTTCAGGGTTCAAAATTCTCGTCCAACTCCGAAAATTGTCCCTTCTCGACAAACCTTCTCGAAATATAAAGAAAAACATGAATCAGTAAACAATACTTTCTTTTTTTTATTTGCTTACAAGTATACAAGGCCATTTTTTGGTTTGGCTTTTTTTCCCCAGACGATTCCTAAATCGTTTTAAAAAAACAGCTGATTTCTAAATTCTAAAGAAAATGCAATTTCCCCTCGCTTGGAGATGCATATTTATCTCCCCTTTTTGTTAATTTTCAGAGTACGTGTCAAGATTTTTGAAGAGTACGGAACCCGCCCCCAAAAAGTATAGATTTTAGGGATCACTTTTGACCCCCGACTAAGATTGCGAGCAGGATTTAGACATAAATGTACCGCTCTTCCCCTTCATTGTTTTTACAAACAACTACCAGAAGATTAAACAATATCTATAAAACCTTCTCAACAATGGCACCAGTCACGAAGAGCCAAAAATACGATTACTTGGTCATTGGTGGAGGAAGTGGCGGACTTGCCTCTGCAAGAAGAGCTGCTCAATACGGAGCCAAAGTTGCATTAATAGAAAGTAGTCACAGACTAGGCGGAACCTGTGTTAATGTGGGATGCGTACCGAAAAAGATTATGTTTAATACTGGTGAGTGGATAATGGCACTGGAAATGTGCGCAACACGCTCGATCAAGTATCCTAGTGATAAATCGTATGCTGAGGAGTAATCAAGGAAAAGGGGAAATAATAGACCTCTGCATTGTCGCACGCTTAATTCACTTGGCCGTAAACGTATACAATCTCAACGCGAATTGCGATACAGCTCGTTATACTAAACTCTGCCCGATCCCCATTCCCTCTCATTCTGCCTACCACACGTAAATAGCATCAGTTGCCGAGGCCCTGCATGACGCCAAGGACTATGGATTCGACCTACCAAAAATTCCCAAGTTTGACTGGACAGCTCTCAAACACAAGCGAGATGAATACATAAAACGCTTGAATAGAATCTACGAAAACAATCTCAACAAAGACGGCGTTGAATACATCTGGGGTAAGGCTAGCTTTGTTGATGCAAAGACTGTAAAGATTGAGACCGAAGACGCAGAGACTGCAGTAAATGCCGACCATATTTTGATCTCCACCGGTAAGTTTTAATGGCGGGTGGGAGGAGGTTCGGAATGCAACAGATCGGACGACGAGAATGTGGCTAATATGTAAGAATGCATACGATATTGGTAACTGACTTGACATCATATGCGACAGGTGGTCGGCCAGTTTTTCCTGATACGCCTGGCGCAGAGTTGGGAATTGATAGCGATGGTTTCTTCGATCTTGAGACACAACCCAAAAAAGTCATTGTTGTTGGGACTGGGTATGTACTAGAATGTTATGAGCAGCCATCTATTGATCCGACCGTGAGCAAGATTCCTTATCGCGCATCTGCAAATTTTGCGAACCTGCACAAATTACGATACTATTTACAGATATATCGGTGTCGAATTGGCAGGAATATTTAACACACTAGGTAAGACAAGTCATTTCAACACGTTCTTTCTTCCTATGCTGGTTTGTTATTCTAATCGAGAATAAAACAATGTTTATACGGCTCATCTACTCCT